TCTTACCACACATAAAATATTTGAAAACAAAGTGCTTGAAGGCTCTAGACTTGCTAAAAGTAGTCTCAAATACAGAGTGGGGAGGCGATCAGACCACCCTCCTTCACTTGTACAGATCATTAGTTCGCAGTAAACTAGATTATGGCTCCATTGTCTACGGTGGAGCCTGCAAAAGCAATTTAGAAAAATTAGACTCTATCCACCACCAAGGGCTGAGGCTCTGCCTGGGAGCTTTTAGGACCTCTCCGGTAGACAGTCTATATGCGGAGGCCAATGAACCTTCCCTCGAACAACGCCGCATTAAACTCTCACTGCAGTATATCACTAAATTACGTTCAAATGAGTCCAATCCAGCATACAATTGTGTTTTCAACCCGCTCTATGAAAACTTGTTTCCTAAACTGCCAAGCCTGGTTCCACCACTTGGAATCAGGATCAAACCACACATATCTGCAGCTAAAATTGATCTCAACATCATTGCACCTTACCGACTTCTGTCCTCACCACCATGGCAAATGGTGAAACCACAGGTCGATCTTACCCTCACCAAACTCAAAAAGTCTGAAACAAATCCTTTGGTGTTCCAACAGGAATACAACCAGTTACGTTCGAAGTATAACACCCATAGATCCATTTTCACAGACGGATCCAAGGACGATGGCCAAGTTGCCAGCGCTACAGTCATTGGATCCAAGACTGTCTCCTCTAGGATCCCCGACAACAGTTCCATTTTCACCGCTGAAGCCAAAGCTATCTTCTCAGCTTTGACCTACATTCAACAGCAAAAACATTCCAAAAACTTCATCGTTCTTACAGATTCATTATCCTGCCTTCAAGCACTTCAAAATGTGACTTCAAGTCACCCAATCATCCTGGACATATTAGAACTTTACAACGACCTTTCTACTGGCCAATGTGACATCGTCCTCTGCTGGTTGCCGGGTCACGCCGGCATAGCAGGTAACACCAAGGCCGATGCTGCAGCAAAAGCAGCTCTTGACAAGCCCCTATCTCCACTGCTAATCCCGTACAGTGATTTCAAACCCACTATCAAAAGCTATACTCGGGACCTGATGCAAAAAAGGTGGGACACTCAAGTAGGAAGAAACAAACTCCATGAATTGAAGCCAACAATCGGTTATACCTACTTGGGTTGTCAGTCAAGACGTGATGAGGTAATTTTACGACGATGTCATATTGGCCACAGTCGATTTACACATGACTATCTGCTGAAAACGGATGGGGATGGACCCCCCATGTGTGTCTCTTGCGATGAGGTTTTCACCATCAAGCATATTCTGCTTGAATGCGTGGACTTATCTTCTGCAAGGGACTCACATTATGATGCAACAAACCTAAAAGATCTGTTCTCCCGCGTGAGCGCTCATCTCATAGTGAACTACCTGAGGGAAGTTGATCTGTATCATAAATTGTAAGTGCGAAATGTAACAACCATAAATTGTAACTATGAAATGTGACTAACAAATTGCCTGCCTTTAAATTTGATGCTATGACTTTCTCTGCTTTTAAATGACAAAGTAATCAATATATGTCTTTGAAATAAAACTCATTCCGAGTATTTACTTACAATGTTTACTAATGTAAACTTGTTCTCATCACTATATGGCTGGAATAATGCCGATGTGACGTAAAGCCCAACTCAACCTTAATTACTGACTGTTAAGTTTTTTTTCATATTGTACATTTTCCAAGTCCTCTGCGGCATATGTTAGTACCATATATGCAGAAAAGGTAAACATCTGACATATGTAAATGAGTTCAGGCAATTAAGACCACTTGAGGACAAATTACAGACACTGATTTTCTGTCAGTCAGTTAATTGTTCATTCACAAACTAATGAATGAAACTAATGAATGAGTGTTTGGATAGTAAAATGAACAATGTTTTTGATATGTACCAAAAAATGAAGATAGAAATGTTTAAAGAAAAAAAAAAGAAATGTTAATGAATGAATATTTGAAATGTGAAAAGGACAAATTTATAAATGTAACAGTGCTAAACATACATTGCCATTAAAACGTCTTCAAATATTCTGACAAATACAGGATAATTGTTTCAAATGAGGAATGAATTTCCCATTTCCATTTGGTATGAATCAGTATGGGTAGACATTGTCTAGTACAAGTAGCTTGAACATTTGTTTCATGAATCTTTTACCCTGTCATTCATATGTTAACTTAGACGAGAGCCACACCGCCGTTAACTACAGTCAAGATATGACATGATGCAGGGTCAAGTATTGACTGTATAGGACCGCATCACAGCCTTCAGATACAGTTAAAAGTTTCGATCGTTCTAAAAAATACAAAACTCCCCTTCAGTTGAGCAAATTTGTTTCTGTATCCAGGTAGGGGTGTCAATTGTATTATCCGTCACATTGTGGTATGGAGTACCTTACTTCTACTGTATCATAACAATTCAAGCACTGCCTTGTCAGGTACTACGATTTTTTATATAACCCTGACATAGGTAGATATGGTAAACGCCCACATGTCTTCGACGAAGCACAATGTGGTATCAACATCTACGACATGGTGACATTTTGGCCAATACGGCGACGCCGATGGGCTTACAGGGTATGTACATGTTGACATGCGTATATCATAATGACCATTATAGCTAAACATTTTATGAATTCTATGTATCTATAAATGTTTAAATTTCATTGAGCCTTCATACACATGGTAAAAAAATTATTTCAATGCTGCCCACCTGTTCTTGCGTCAAATGCGACAACAAAAATGCTACAACATTATCAGGTTCAACAAGAACAGAGGCCGATGTGCTGCCACTGATCGTGATTACGTCGTTGGAAGCGTCACCTCCACTTGATCGCTCATTGTTATCATATAAGTGACGAATTTGTTGTCTCTGTGTTTCATAATCGTCTAACTGGTCAAATTTTAGAAGCGGGGATTTATCATGCTCCGCCATCTTGTTTATTGATAATATGCATTTCCGGAAAGTTTATTTATCTCCCCTTATGTATGCTATTTTTAGTAATATATATAGTCAGTGGATTTCAATCGTCATTAGCAATGTCTCTGTAGCGCAATCGGTTAGTGCGTTCGGCTGATAAACGAAAGGTTGGTGGTTCGATCCCACCCAGAGACGCAGCTAGAACTTAGTTCTTCAGACTTTCGTCTAAAGAGCTACTGTTTTTACCCGGATTATTCTTCTTCTTCTTATTATTATATTTAGGTCTTCAGACGAAAGTCTGGAAGACCTACTGTTTTTACCCGAATTATTATTATTATTAGGTCTTCAGACGAAAGTCTGGAAGACCTACTGTTTTTACCCGGATTATTATTAGGTCTTCAGACGAAAGTCTGGAAGACCTACTGTTTTTACCCGAATTATTATTATTATTATTCCGTATTATCATTATTCCAACCGTTTTTGTGACAGCTCTCCTGACCTAACCGCTTGGTCGATTTTCATGAAACTTTCAGGGATGATAGCCTGTATGCTGAAATTGATACATAGTCGAAAAAATCCCGACTTCCGGCTTCCGGTAAGGGCAGACAACCCAAAATGTCGAAATCTTTACACTTGAATAACTCAAAAACTATAAGAGATAAATTGACCAAATTTTCACTCAATGTAGACAACATCATTCCCCAGCGACTCAACGCATAGCGGAAGTTGGCCGCCATGACATATTTTCCGCAATTTTGGAAAAAACATGTTCTGCCTGCGTTTTGGCCGCTTTCTAGCACTTCAATACACGTCAAACACCCGTAACTCGAGAGTTAAAATGGACGGTCCAGCTGGCGTCCAAAGAAACGGTACAAGTAAAGGTAGCCACGGGGAGTGTATGGGGAGGTCTGAAGACCGCCAGTATTGCCCAGGAGGCAATCCTAGTTTCAATTGTATTTGTCATTGTATATTATGTAACATCTATCATATGTCTAAATGTTTATAGTATCAATGCCATGTAATATAATTAATAAATGTGTATCATTCATGTGCATCAGCAAATCATGTGTATTACCATGATATTATTCATTTATATATCTGTGGAGTTGTCACGGTAACGTGTTGGCAACAGTAGTTATGATTAGTTATGTATATACATGTACGTGTGTGTTTAATGCAGTTGTTATGTAGTAATGTGATTCCTGTCAATTATTGATTGTAAACTTATATTGTCATTTTAACATGTTTCAGGCTAAGCTTTTGTTCATTACATTCGCCTCACACCCCAGTGGAGAATAGAAGCTGTAGATTATCCCTGATATAACTGAGTGATTATACGTGCATTATATTTACATCTCTCGTGCTCATGTGTCCCGATGTCAAAGATTAAGCAATTACGGCTTTTCTCACTAAATAATCTGGGTGAACTCGAGGCTTCATGTTGTATCTGGGGTTACGTTTTTAAAGAGTGAGTGAGTTTAGTTTTACGCCGCTTTTAGCAATATTCCTCCAATAGCACGGCGGGGTACACCAAAAATGGGCTTCACGCAACGTTTTCAAAGTCACACAAACACAGAGATGAAAGCTGTTTTTCATTCACGCAAAAAAGTCAGTTGCCCAAATTTAGGGCTTACATCATAACAATCGAGATAAACCGATCACCATCAGCTCGTTGTATTATGGTAATTCTGTTTGACTGCTCGACGAGCCGAAACTGTAACCACAAGGCCACTCACTGCATGGCATCATATGTTTGCCAAACCATATGCAGAACCATATACCAGGGGCGGATACAGCTTTTTTGAGAAAGGGGTGGGAGGGTTGGAGGTGCACACTATTGAGAAAGGAGGGGTGCACACTTCATTTTCACGAGAGTTTCAATGGTCATTTAATAAACTTTCAGGACAAAAGGGGATGTGCGCCCCTCTGGATCCCCTTATGCAATACGGTGTTTCGAGAGCTTGGGAGCTTGGTTTGAAAGGGAAAGCCCCGGACTTTCCCGCTACAGGGGAGTAATCATTATTGTGTTTTTATGCTTCAAACATTCGAACCCCGTGTAACCTCAAACTCGATTCTGATTAATTATGATGAGTTAAATAAGTGATTTCCATCAAAATCTTTACTTAGGTGTCTTGTATTATGCACAGACATTACATAATAAGTAAAGTAGTCTAGAAGACGTCCCTTCATTGAAACACGGAAGTAAAGGTAGGATGTGCAATGGAAGACGATGTGAGTGTCCCAACCAAGATCGTTGACGAAGTCAGCAGCCACCTACACTGTCCTATTTGTAAGAAGTTGTATAAAGACCCCGTCATCAACATCCGATGTGGACACACATTCTGTAGGAAGTGTGCGTTTTCCACAACCCACTGCCCCGTCGACAACGCGCACTGTGACACCAATCAGCTGGTTATCAACAGGTACCGACGGATTATATCTTTTCGTACATCGTAAGTTTTCGGACGGCAGTGAATACTCGCGCTGTTAGCCGAGAGCCGCGAAGAGGTCATATACACTCGGCTGTCGTTGTGAGGATTGCGTCACATACTTTGGGAATACTCGAATGGTGGCTCATTTTAAAGATATAGTTGTCTTTTGTAAACAAGTTAGTGAATTATTTGGCTGTTGTTCATGCAGTTAGGGAGAAGAGAACGGATGTTCTGTTCTAAATTCATTAACTGAGCATCAAGAGAGTGATAACAAATGAACAGGTGTAGGTTTATAACACTAGTCATGGATGACAACAAGGGTATAGCAATTGTTAAAAGCAGAGGTCAGATGTCTAATTTGCTAGTTGATAGCCAGTTCGTTTCTGACAACCATCTAGTTCTCTACTGACCCCATTTATAGAGCCCTCAAAACATCCTTTCCACAGGTGTATAATGTTTAAACACATGACAACCCCCGTGCCCATCACTACATGAGATACATGAAGTAAGTTTGTCATAGATGATTTGTCTTGAGAAAATGTTCATAAATTTCAGCCGACGTATGTCACAGTTGCTTCAGTCATAAGCCACATCATTCTTATGTACAAAACATTTTTGGTCTGTTTTTGTTCATGTCAGACTTGTGGTAGGCCAGATTGATGACCTGTTGATCTTCTGCCGCTACGGACTCATCAAAGATGGAGATGGCTGGCAAGAAGATCCTAGTGGATGTTCAGAGAAGATTCAGATGGGTATGTATTGATAAGTCAACAGCAGTACACTTCCTTCAGAGAAAACGTATACTGGCAAGTAGCTTGTGTGTGATCAGCAGTAGAAATGTCTTGGCATACAGTGTACTGCACTGAATTCTCACAGCCAGCCTACAGAAATGGGATTGGTTCCCTCTTTTAGGGAGAGGACAGTGTGTCTTTTAACAATGCAGATCTTTGAAATACAAATTATGATTTTGCAACAACCATACTGAAATATTTCTACTGTAGTTAAGGTAGATACTTCTCTAGTGAGAGTGGTTTTACACCGCTTTTAGCAATATTCCAGCAATATCATGGTGGTGAACTGTACCCATGTGAGGAATCGAGCCCGGGCCTGAGCAGTATGTGGAATAAAGTCATCACTATTTAGTCATCTATTATGGCCTGTCATGGCAGCCATATTAAAAATAATTTTTGTCTGTTTAAAACATTTAGCATGTATAAATATTAAAAGCTGATATGCAGGAAATATGTGATGTTTGTCTATAGCCTATCATTATGAAATATGAATGCTGCTTTCATGTTTTTCTTATATCCAAAGTACTTTGTTTCATGTTTTTCAGCATTGTATTATCAACCTATTATTGTTGAAACATGGTGCCGCTTGATGCGAAAACTGGTATTGGTTCAATCTTGCTAGAACAGATCCCATCTTGTTACAATTCCAGGAAAGCGTCAAGATCATGAAACAGATTGCCTGTTTGCCATAGTCAGTTGTCCAAATGCTGCAGAATGCGGGACATTCCGTCGAAATGAGGTCCAGTGCCATCAACAACAGTGTACCTATACTCCGTGTATATACAAGGATAAAGGTACATCCTTGCATACTGCTAATCAAACTTAGAGGAACCATGTTGTGACATCTGAACTGCACAATCTGCATAATGTGTGTAGCTAATAGCAACAACAGGGTGGACGACTTGCTTTAGATTCACTGCAGCCCCCTATTCAATGGAATTGTATTCCTCTGTTGCAAGCAACTCGTGAAGGTTTGGGTTAGAATATTGATCTTCAGTAACCCATGCTTATCGTAATAGGCGACTAACGGGATCTGGTGGTCACGCTCGCTGACTGGGTTGACACATGTCAGCGGTCCCCGATTCCGCAGAACGATGCTAATGCTGTTGATCACTGGATTGTCTGGTCCAGACTCGATTATTTACAGACTGCCGCCATAAAGCTGGAATATTGCTGAGTGCTGCGTAAAACTCAACTCACTCACTCACTGTTGCAAGCAGGAGGTAAACTGTCCAAAACCACAGTGGTCACAACAAGAAACATTCACTGTTTTAGCAGTGGGAGCCAGTGATATTGGAGTAAAGTAGCCAAGCCAGTATGTGCTTAGGGGACAAACTAAAACACTGATGCTACAAATATTAAATAGTTAAAAATATTAGGGATATTTTTCATGTAACCATCCTGACAGCCCAAGTCAACCATTTAAGAAAACAAATATTGATTTAAAAAATGCCTGTACTCAGTAAAATGTCGAGAAGAATTCTGCGTTTCAAATTCCATTTGAAAAGATTGCAGCCAATCAGATTGTGACAGACACTGACCTTCGGTTCCAATTACTGAGAATCTCCATCTCCTGTTCTGGTTTATAGGATGTGAATTTTCTGGGACGCCAGTCAGTGTGGAGGGGCATGTCCGGTCATGTGGGTACCAGGACTCCGACAGTCTTGGATCAGAGGTCATACAGAAGGTAGGTGGCCCCTCATTGCCCTCCATTATGTCCACACCATTTAGGAATGTCATATTAGAAGTAGGCTATATGTTTGTCTGGACTTTGTTGTTACTTAGGTGCAGGGTTTATGCGAGTAGTTGAGAGTTTATTCAACCAATATGGTTGAAGTGCAAATGTTGATTAATGATACCACGTGGTGTTCAGGATACCATGGTGTAGTACACTATAGGCCAGCTGTGAGTGTTTTAAAGAAATACAGCAATTTATAAATATGAACTTTAAATGGTTTTTCCAACCAGTAACTACAACCAAAAGTATGGGCCAAAATGTTTCAAACTTTTGAAACAGCTTCTTTGTGTAAAGGAGAGGTGCAGTGCAAACTTTGATTTCCAGTTTCTCATTTTTGAAACTTAGAGATACCCAAGGGAATCTTTAAATGGATTGTTTTCAAATTTGGGGATCATCTACAGGAAAGGTGCAGTCCTATTTTTAATTTACTTCTCTTGAACTTGGGGGGTGGGGTGGAGTCCCGCATCAAAGTTTTCAGCAAATTACTTTACAATCATTTAGTGGATTTTTGTAACATATGTTATATTTGGGGCTACACTTTCTCAGTAGAGTACAGATTCTAATACTTTTGTTGGGTCGAGTCCCATCCGGGATTCGAACCCACACCCTCAGAGTCAGGCACCTAATCGCCAGCACACAAAGTCAGCCGCCTAACCCGCTCAGCCCAACACATACCAGATAGTACTCAACCCAACAAAAGTACTAGAATCTGTACTTTACTAAGAAAGTGTTATCCCAAACATAGCATATGTTACATTTGACCACTTTCTAAATGGCATTGTGTATTCATTTAATGGATTGTTTTCAGATTAGGCTAATGGTTTCTTTGTTTATAGGAAAGGTTTAAAGTGCTAAGTTTGACAAAGATCTGGTATTTTTTGCCAAGAATAATCATTATTAATTAATTGGAATCATGGTCGGGGGTAGGTTACAGTTATTGAGCCATTATAGATTTCATGTCATTGTCATATCCTAGATGGCCAATCTACAACAAACCAATCAGAAGCTGGAACAGAAGGTGTCCACTTTAACAAAACGGGTTGTTGACCTCGAGTCTGTGCGAGACGAAATGACCTCCCAGCTCAGCACATGCAATAGGTGAGGAGAAGAATCCAATTAACTTGGAGAATGACGTCAATACTAGTTTAACAAAAATCCATTACTTTTAGCTTTTTAACCTCTTATCCCAAAGGGGCAGTGGGTTATCCTAGTAGTTAAAGCGTTCGCTCAGCACGCTGAAGACTTGGGTTTGTTTCCCCACATGGGTACAATGTGTGAAGCCCATTTCTGTTGTCTTGCCTCGATATTGCTGGAATATTGCTAAAAGCAGTGTAAACTAAACTTATTCACTTACTCAGTCTTAACACCAAATAGCTTAGAGACCTGTTTGGACGTTGCTTGTCCATCCCCAGATACAAGAATTATCACACAAAACTCCATGAGTCAATGTGGCTAGCATCACTTGTTAGTCCTCGGGATATGCAGGAACCCTTCCACAGTGGTAACTGGTACCATGGGTCTGCTGTTTTTTGTATTCTGTGGGAAGTATTGATAAAAAACTGTGCAGATCAGTTATATTTGAGTAAGTTCAGTTCTGACATTGATATAACCAGCAGGCCTCATAGTCTCCTACATTTCAACAGCTGTGAATCTGTGAGATCTTGTGTAACACAAGCCCTGCAAAATGTGTTAGCATTAAGAGTCAACAAGCATGATCAGCTCCAGTGCTATTGCAGTTGTATCCAGGCCCTTCAACAGAAGTACAACGACCTACATGCGACTGTGGAGTCCTTGCTTAACACCCGCAGGCCTGTTTCCTTCGGCTCACAGGTGTCGCTGGCGGAGTCCACAACAGGTCAGTCACTTTTCAGCTCTTGTTGGAGAATGATTTCAACAACCATTGGCAGGGACTTTGTGGTAGTGGGTGAATGAATACAGAATATATTCTGTGTGAATGTCTTGTATGAAACTGCTGAAAGAATTCTCAGACCTGAGTTACCTTTCCTTTCGTCAAGGTCAGTGTTCCATCTGTGAAGTTCAGACAACTGCTAGATAACCCTGACAGGCCATCCTTAACTTCAGTGTATTCTCTCTCTCCATGTTATTAACATAAAGACCAGTGGCCCGGTTGCCACGTCTGCTTTGTTTTGAGTCTGACATGAAGTGCATAATGTTAAAGAATCAAATTACTCTCAAACTGGTTGAGTTAAGTGACAGGACAGATGGAGATGAAGATAGAGCTTTGGTCCAATATGACGAGCGGATCCAGTGGGTCCAAGGTATTAATCAGAACAGAACAGAGATCTAGTACACCGACAGAAAGCCATTCAGCATGCAGCAGTTTCCAACAAAACCTGGTTTTCCAGGGGTACACAGTGACAGTGCTCATGTTTTGTTTACCCACAGAATGAGTAATACTGAATGTAGGTGGGGAGTACCTGATGTAGACGGTCTCCTAAGTTTGTTATCCCCCGCACCGCGTTTTGTGGGGGGTATTAAAATGGACTCCGTCTGTGTGTGCTTGCGTCCGTCCGTCCGTGCACATTTGTCTTTTCCGGAGCAGAACTCTAAAACCGTTCAATATTTCTTCACCAAACTTGGCACATAGATACATCTGGTGGTGTACTGGTGCCTTTTGGTAGTTTTGGAATTCTGAATAAAATATTTTTGATGTTTCCATGGCAACAAGTTTGACTTAGCCTGAAATTGGTGGTAGTGCTCTTTTCCGGAGCAGAACTTTAAAAAACCTTTCAATACTCTCCTTCCACTTTTCTATATACACACCTAAATATTTGACATAATCATTACTTGTAGACATAATCATGAAGAGTATTTTGCCATTGCGGGGGATATTGATGACTTTGTCTTCTTGTTTTAACCTACTTCACTTCTGTGACACATGCTGTGTTTCCAGGTGTACGAAGGCGCCGGATGTCTTCCCCAGGTAGCCCGAATGAAGTCCACAAGTATGAGAAATGGGAGATGCCATTCCAGTTCAAGTGCATAGGAACACTCAGGTGCGTCTCTTACCCAACATCCAGAAACACTGTCTATACTCAAACAAATAAAATCAGACTGTGTCTCAAACCTGTTATGTCGTCATGATGGTTTGTATAGTTTAAAACTGTGATTAGATGTCTGCTATGTATCAGTGCTGGTTGTACTTACATGACCGTTTAGACTGACTGACTGACTGAGTTTAGTTTTACGCCGCTTTTAGCAATATTCCAGCAATATCACGGCGGGGGACACCAGAAATGGGCTTCACACATTGTACCCGGGTCTTCGGCATGACTAGCGAATGCTTTAACCACTAGGCTACCCCACGGGCCCTGACCATTTAGATGTCTTCTGTGACAAACTAGAGTTGCACAGGGTTTGAGATTAGTTCATTCATTTACCTAAAATGATTTTCATAAAATTTGGAATTGATTTATATAAAATTTCGTGTAAAATATAATAGCTTTGTTTTGTTGTGAGAAAAATCACGTTTTCAATGTTGCTGATTGTCTGCCATTGTAGCCAGCTCATGCTATCATGGCTTGTTCCAGACATCAGACTGATAGAATACTAAGTGAGCTCCCGTGTCATACCAATTTTATGAAATGAATGAATACTTCTAGTATCTGACCAGCAAAAGTGACACCAGAATAATTCACGAGTTTCATTAAAGTGGTTCTACAAAGCAGCTTGTTTGGTTTATTTATTTATTTATTACGTGGATGCTTTGGTATTAAACTACATGTAAATACCAACTTGTTGTTTATTAACGATGATATCTTCAACAGACAAGTAATAAATAAAGATCTTCATCTAGATCCTGACTAAAATACTGCTGACTATATCATAAAACGATGAAAACTCTTTTCTGTGACCGGGCTGACTTTATGTTGTTACGTTCTGTATCATGTAATTGTCGCCCTTTGGATAACTGGTTCAAGGGGCCAGCATGATTTGCTATGGTATCTGACTGCAAGGGCAGACGTCATGTAATGTGAGACTGTTGCATGGATAGTCAGGACATAGTGTGGTATCTGACTGAGTACAAGGGCAGACGTCTTGTAATGTGAGACTATTTGTTCCAGGGGCCACCAGGATGTAGTGTGGTGTCTGACTGCCTACAAGGGCAGACGTCTTGTAATGTGAGACTGTTTGTTCCAGGGGCCACCAGGATGTAGTGTGGTGTCTGACTGCCTACAAGGGCAGACGTCTTGTAATGTGAGACTGTTTGTTCCAGGGGCCACCAGGATGTAGTGTGGTGTCTGACTGCCTACAAGGGCCGGCTGTACAGTTCGGGAGCAGACGGTCAGATTAAGGTGTGGGACCTTGACCAGCTGGCTAGAGGCTGCATACAGACACTCAGTGGACACACAGCAAGTGTAAGTAGTAATGAGGGGATGTGGGGAAGTTTTCAAGGAATGGTTCTCATGTGGAAGTGTATTTCCCTGGATTTTATCAAGAATGATATGAACTAGAAATCTTCTGATACAGCTAATTACAAATTGCGACCAAGCCTCTCATCTTTGAGATTTTTCAAAACAAAAGGACGTGTGGTAGTTCGACACAAAATGTGCCGGATACTTTGCAACGTGACTAAATTACTATCATTCCCCAAGGTCTGTTTCAGGTCAGTTAAACACTTATTGTCCTTCAGGTCTACTGTTCGGCAGTCAGTGGTGGGTATTTGTACACAGCTGGAGACGATAATACAATCCGAGTCTGGGATACTGAGAATGGCGGGAGCGTGAAGACACTGGAGGTATGTCTAGCATTGCAGTAGGGGCTATCAGGTCTGCAGTATCCTATACAAGGCAGTTGGTTGTGATGTATTTAGTTTGTATGTTGTTTAGCGACACACTCAGCAATATTGTGGCGATATAATGGCGGGCTGTAAATAATCAAGTCTTCTCCAGACAGTCCAGTGATTCTTATCATGAGCATTAATCTATTTAATCAGGACATGATAGCATGCATAAACAAAGTGAGCGAGTCTGACCTCCCATCACCTCTTACTAGGGCTGTAACGATGCCTCGAACTATCTATGGATTGCAATTGTTGAGTCTCCGATAGCAATTAATCGATGGTAGAAACGAAAGACTATCGATGCATCAATGGTATGTATGACTGTCGATACTCTAGTAATCGACTTTCGTTGATAAATATGCAGCTCAAAATACAGGGTTTGGGTGCAGACATGCAGCTTCATTGAGTTTATTGTTTAACTGATCATTTACTTGAACTGTTACTACTTCAACTTGTTTTTGTTTCATATAAACCATGCATTCATTTGGGAAATGACTTCAAATGGGACGATTCAAGGAGAAAAAAACTATTGTGATAGTATTGCAATAGTATGTTGCAATAGACTATCACTATCGCAATAGTATGTTGCAATAGACTATCACTATCACAATAGTATGTTGCTATCGCAATAGTATGTTGCAATAGACTATCTCTATCACAATAGTATGTTACAATAAACTATCTCTATCACAATAGTATGTTGCAATAGACTATCACTATCACAATAGTATGTTTCAATAGACTATCACTATTGCAATAGTATGTTGCAATAGACTGTCACTATCACAATAGTATGTTGCAATAGACTATCTCTATCACAATAGTATGTTACAATAAACTATCTCTATCACAATAGTATGTTGCAATAGACTATCACTATCACAATAGTATGTTGCAATAGACTATCACTATCGCAATAGTATGTTGCAATAGACTGTCACTATCACAATAGTATGTTGCAATAGACTATCACTATCACAATAGTATGTTGCAATAGACTGTCACTATCACAATAGTATGTTTCAATAGACTATCACTATCACAATAGTATGTTGCAATAGACTATCACTATCACAATAGTATGTTGCAATAGACTATCACTATCACAATAGTATGTTGCAATAGACTGTCACTATCACAATAGTATGTTTCAATAGACTATCACTATCACAATAGTATGTTGCAATAAACTATCGCTATCACAATAGTATGTTGCTATCGCAATAGTATGTTGCAATAGACTGTCACTATCACAATAGTATGTTGCAATAAACTGTCACTATCACAATAGTATGTTACAATAAACTATCACTATCGCAATAGTATGTTGCAATAGACTATCACTATCACAATAGTATGTTGCAATAGACTATCACTATCACAATAGTATGTTGCAATAGACTATCTCTATCACAATAGTATGTTGCAATAAACTATCTCTATCACAATAGTATGTTGCAATAGACTATCACTATCACAATAGTATGTTGCAATAGACTGTCACTATCACAATAGTATGTTGCAATAGACTATCTCTATCACAATAGTATGTTACAATAAACTATCTCTATCACAATAGTATGTTGCAATAGACTATCACTATCACAATAGTATGTTTCAATAGACTATCACTATTGCAATAGTATGTTGCAATAGACTGTCACTATCACAATAGTATGTTGCAATAGACTATCACTATCACAATAGTATGTTTCAATAGACTATCACTATCACAATAGTATGTTGCAATAAACTATCGCTATCACAATAGTATGTTGCTATCGCAATAGTATGTTGCAATAGACTGTCACTATCACAATAGTATGTTGCAATAAACTGTCACTATCACAATAGTATGTTACAATAAACTATCACTATCGCAATAGTATGTTGCAATAGACTATCACTATCGCAATAGTATGTTGCAATAGACTATCACTATCGCAATAGTATGTTGCAATAGACTATCACTATCACAATAGTATGTTGCTATCGCAATAGTATGTTGCAATAGACTATCTCTATCACAATAGTATGTTACAATAAACTATCTCTATCACAATAGTATGTTGCAATAGACTATCACTATCACAATAGTATGTTTCAATAGACTATCACTATTGCAATAGTATGTTGCAATAGACTGTCACTATCACAATAGTATGTTGCAATAGACTATCACTATCACAATAGTATGTTGCAATAGACTATCACTATCGCAATAGTATGTTGCAATAGACTGTCACTATCACAATAGTATGTTGCAATAGACTATCACTATCACAATAGTATGTTGCAATAGACTATCACTATCACAATAGTATGTTGCAATAAACTGTCACTATCACAATAGTATGTTACAATAAACTATCACTATCGCAATAGTATGTTGCAATAGACTATCACTATCGCAATAGTATGTTGCAATAGACTATCACTATCACAATAGTATGTTGCAATAAACTATCACTATCACAATAGTATGTTGCAATAGACTATCACTATCGCAATAGTATGTTGCAATAGACTGTCACTATCACAATAGTATGTTGCAATAGACTATCACTATCGCAATAGTATGTTGCAATAGACTATCACTATCACAATAGTATGTTGCAATAGACTGTCACTATCACAATAGTATGTTGCAATAGACTATCACTATCACAATAGTATGTTGCAATAGACTATCACTATTGCAATAGTATGCTGCAATAGACTATCACTATCACAATAGTATGTTGCAATAGACTATCACTATCACAATAGTATGTTGCAATAGACTATCACTATCACAATAGTATGTTGCAATAGACTATCACTATCACAATAGTATGTTGCAATAGACTATCACTATCACAATAGTATGTTACAATGCAATAGTATGTTGCAATAGACTATCACTATCACAATAGTATGTTACAATAGACTATCACTATCACAATAGTATGTTACAATAGACTATCACTATCACAATAGTATGTTGCAATAGACTGTCACTATCACAATAGTATGTTACAATAAACTATCACTATCACAATAGTATGTTGCAATAGACTGTCACTATCACAATAGTATGTTACAATAAACTATCACTATCACAATAGTATGTTGCAATAGACTATCACTATCACAATAGTATGTTGCAATAGACTATCACTATCACAATAGTATGTTGCAATAGACTATCACTATCACAATAGTATGTTGCAATAGACTGTCACTATCACAATAGTATGTTGCAATAAACTATCACTATCACAATAGTATGTTGCAATAGACTATCACTATCACAATAGTATGTTGCAATAGACTGTCACTATCACAATAGTATGTTACAATAAACTATCACTATCGCAATAGTATGTTGCAATAGACTATCACTATCAGAATAGTATGTTGCTATCGCAATAGTATGTTGCAATAGACTATCTCTATCACAATAGTATGTTACAATAAACTATCTCTATCACAATAGTATGTTGCAATAGACTACCACTATCACAATAGTATGTTTCAATAGACTATCACTATCACAATAGTATGTTGCAATAGACTATCACTATCACAATCGTATGTTACAATAGACTATCACTGTTGCAATAGTATGTTGCAATAGACTATCACTATCGCAATAGTATGTTGCAATAGACTATCACTATCGCAATAGTATGTTGCTATCGCAATAGTATGTTGCAATAGACTATCTCTATCACAATACTATGGTACAATAAACTATCTCTATCGCAATAGTATGTTGCAATAGACTATCTCTATCACAATAGTATGTTGCAATAGACTGTCACTATCACAATAGTATGTTGCAATAGACTATCACTATCACAATAGTATGTTACAATAAACTATCTCTATCGCAATAGTATGTTGCAATAGACTGTCACTATCACAATACTATGGTACAATAAACTATCTCTATCGCAATAGTATGTTGCAATAGACTATCACTATCACAATAGTATGTTGCAATAGACTGTCACTATCACAATAGTATGTTGCAATAGACTATCACTATCACAATAGTATGTTACAATAAACTATCTCTATCACAATAGTATGTTGCAATAGACTATCACTATCACAATAGTATGTTGCAATAGACTATCACTATCACAATAGTATGTTGCAATAGACTATCTCTATCACAATAGTATGTTGCAATAGACTATCACTATCACAATAGTATGTTTCAATAGACTATCACTATCACAATAGTATGTTGCAATAGACTATCACTATCACAATAGTATGTTTCAATAGACTATCACTATCACAATAGTATGTTTCAATAGACTATCACTATCACAATAGTATGTTACAATAGACTATCACTATCACAATAGTATGTTGCAATAGACTATCACTATCACAATAGTATGTTACAATAGACTATCACTATCACAATAGTATGTTGCAATAGACTATCACCATCACAATAGTATGTTGCAATAGACTATCACCATCACAATAGTATGTTTCAATAGACTATCACTATCACAATAGTATGTTTCAACAGACTATCACTATCACAATAGTATGTTACAACAGACTATCACTATCACAATAGTATGTTGCAACAGACTATCACCATCACAATAGTATGTTGCAATAGACCATCACTATCACAATAGTATGTTGCAACAGACCATCTCTATCACAATAGTATGTTGCAACAGACCATCACCATCACAATAGTATGTTTCAACAGACTATCACCATCACAATAGTATGTTGCAATAGACTATCACCATCACAATAGTATGTTTCAATAGACCATCACTATCACAATAGTATGTTGCAATAGACTATCACTATCACAATAGTATGTTGCAATAGACTATCACTATCACAATAGTATGTTGCAATAAACTATCACTATCACAATAGTATGTTGCAATAGACTGTCACTATCGCAATAGTATGTTGCAATAGACTATCACTATCGCAATAGTATGTTGCAATAGACTATCACTATCACAATAGTATGTTGCTATCGCAATAGTATGTTGCAATAGACTATCTCTATCACAATAGTATGTTGCAATAGACTATCACTATCACAATAGTATGTTTCAATAGACTATCACTATTGCAATAGTATGTTGCAATAGACTGTCACTATCACAATAGTATGTTGCAATAGACTGTCACTATCACAATAGTATGTTTCAATAGACTATCACTATCACAATAGTATGTTGCAATAAACTATCACTATCACAATAGTATGTTGCAATAAACTATCTCTATCACAATAGTATGTTGCAATAGACTATCACTATCACAATAGTATGTTGCAATAGACTATCACTATTGCAATAGTATGTTGCAATAGACTGTCACTATCGCAATAGTATGTTGCTATCACAATAGTATGTTGCAATAGACTGTCACTATCACAATAGTATGTTTCAATAGACTATCACTATTGCAATAGTATGTTGCAATAGACTGTCACTATCACAATAGTATGTTGCAATAGACTATCACTATCACAATAGTATGTTTCAATAGACTATCACTATTGCAATAGTATGTTGCAATAGACTGTCACTATCACAATAGTATGTTGCAATAGACTGTCACTATCACAATAGTATGTTTCAATAGACTATCACTATCACAATAGTATGTTGCAATAAACTATCTCTATCACAATAGTATGTTGCAATAGACTATCACTATCACAATAGTATGTTGCAATAGACTATCACTATTGCAATAGTATGTTGCAATAGACTGTCACTATCACAATAGTATGTTGCAATAAACTATCTCTATCACAATAGTATGTTGCAATAGACTATCACTATCACAATAGTATGTTGCAATAGACTATCACTATTGCAATAGTATGTTGCAATAGACTGTCACTATCGCAATAGTATGTTGCTATCACAATAGTATGTTGCAATAGACTGTCACTATCACAATAGTATGTTGCAATAGACTATCACTATCACAATAGTATGTTTCAATAGACTATCACTATCACAATAGTATGTTGCAATAGACTATCACTATCACAATAGTATGTTTCAATAGACTATCACTATCACAATAGTATGTTGCAATAGACTATCACTATCACAATAGTATGTTGCAATAGACTATCACTATCACAATAGTATGTTGCAATAAACTATCACTATCACAATAGTATGTTGCAATAGACTGTCACTATCGCAATAGTATGTTGCAATAGACTATCACTATCGCAATAGTATGTTGCAATAGACTATCACTATCACAATAGTATGTTGCTATCGCAATAGTATGTTGCAATAGACTATCTCTATCACAATAGTATGTTGCAATAGACTATCACTATCACAATAGTATGTTTCAATAAACTATCACTATTGCAATAGTATGTTGCAATAGACTGTCACTATCACAATAGTATGTTGCAATAGACTGTCACTATCACAATAGTATGTTTCAATAGACTATCACTATCACAATAGTATGTTGCAATAAACTATCACTATCACAATAGTATGTTGCAATAAACTATCTCTATCACAATAGTATGTTGCAATAGACTATCACTATCACAATAGTATGTTGCAATAGACTATCACTATTGCAATAGTATGTTGCAATAGACTGTCACTATCGCAATAGTATGTTGCTATCACAATAGTATGTTGCAATAGACTGTCACTATCACAATAGTATGTTTCAATAGACTATCACTATTGCAATAGTATGTTGCAATAGACTGTCACTATCACAATAGTATGTTGCAATAGACTATCACTATCACAATAGTATGTTTCAATAGACTATCACTATTGCAATAGTATGTTGCAATAGACTGTCACTATCACAATAGTATGTTGCAATAGACTGTCACTATCACAATAGTATGTTTCAATAGACTATCACTATCACAATAGTATGTTGCAATAAACTATCTCTATCACAATAGTATGTTGCAATAGACTATCACTATCACAATAGTATGTTGCAATAGACTATCACTATTGCAATAGTATGTTGCAATAGACTGTCACTATCACAATAGTATGTTGCAATAAACTATCTCTATCACAATAGTATGTTGCAATAGACTATCACTATCACAATAGTATGTTGCAATAGACTATCACTATTGCAATAGTATGTTGCAATAGACTGTCACTATCGCAATAGTATGTTGCTATCACAATAGTATGTTGCAATAGACTGTCACTATCACAATAGTATGTTTCAATAGACTATCACTATCGCAATAGTATGTTGCTATCACAATAGTATGGTGCAATAGACTATCTCTATCACAATACAATGTTACAATAAACTATCTCTATCACAATAGTATGTTGCAATAGACTATCACTATCACAATAGTATGTTGCAATAGACTACCACTATCACAATAGTATGTTTCAATAGACTATCACTATCACAATAGTATGTTGCAATAGACTATCACTATCACAATCGTATGTTACAATAGACTATCACTGTTGCAATAGTATGTTGCAATAGACTATCACTATCACAATAGTATGTTGCAATAGACTATCACTATCGCAATAGTATGTTGCTATCGCAATAGTATGTTGCAATAGACTATCTCTATCACAATACTATGGTACAATAAACTATCTCTATCGCAATAGTATGTTGCAATAGACTATCACTATCACAATAGTATGTTGCAATAGACTGTCACTATCACAATAGTATGTTGCAATAGACTGTCACTATCACAATAGTATGTTGCAATAGACTATCACTATCACAATAGTATGTTGCAATAGACTATCACTATCACAATAGTATGTTGCAATAGACTGTCACTATCACAATCGTATGTTGCAATAGACTATCACTATCACAATAGTATGTTGCAATAGACTATCACTATCACAATAGTATGTTGCAATAGACTGTCACTATCACAATAGTATGTTGCAATAGACTATCACTATCACAATAGTATGTTGCAATAGACTATCACTATCACAATAGTATGTTGCAATAGACTATCTCTATCACAATACTATGGTACAATAAACTATCTCTATCGCAATAGTATGTTGCAATAGACTATCACTATCACAATAGTATGTTGCAATAGACTGTCACTATCACAATAGTATGTTGCAATAGACTATCACTATCACAATAGTATGTTGCAATAAACTATCTCTATCACAATAGTATGTTGCAATAGACTATCACTATCACAATAGTATGTTGCAATAGACTATCACTATCACAATAGTATGTTGCAATAGACTATCACTATCACAATAGTATGTTGCAATAGACTATCACTATCACAATAGTATGTTGCAATAGACTATCACTATCACAATAGTATGTTGCAATAGACTGTCACTATCACAATAGTATGTTGCAATAGACTATCACTATCACAATAGTATGTTGCAATAGACTATCACTATCACAATAGTATGTTGCAATAGACTATCACTATCACAATAGTATGTTGCAATAGACTATCACTATCACAATAGTATGTTGCAATAGACTATCACTATCACAATAGTATGTTGCAATAGACTGTCACTATCACAATAGTATGTTGCAATAAACTATCTCTATTACAATAGCTGGTTCTCTATGCCACTGGATGGCGAGACATTGGCGTGGCGTGGTTCCTATGTGTTTCATTCAATCATTATCCCAGTTATTTTATCTTCCTAGCTTATGAATAATATGTAACTTGACTAAGATTCAGATTTTTTATTTGTGGCCAGACATGTAGCATCCCATTGTCATAAGATCCCATTGTCATAAGATGCTATTGTCATAAGATGCCATTGTCACAATGACATCCTACTGATGTCCTGGCGGGATTCCGGTTACATCCAGTCCCTGTTTGTGTATCTAGGGGTCTGGCTCAGTGATTTGGTTGAAAACCCCAACTGTGTAGATTGTTGCTCATGATATCAGTCACTGTTCTTCCTGCCCCAGACTTGATTATTTACAGTCACTGTGAGCTTAGTCATGTGACCTTATCCTATGACATCATTAAAAGCGACATGTGTCGCTTTTGTCAGTCTTAGCTCTGTGTATTTTACCCATCATGTTTACATTACTGCCATGTCAGTTAGACAGGCTGCATATATAGTGTTGGCGGGAATACAGATGGTGTAAGGCTGTTAGGCATTCTTTTCAAAATTTGTGTTTTATTTTGAAATAAATAACCGTGTAACAACTTCACAATGTTGTTTTGATTAGGTCACATATGCCATAGATTTGTAATCTAATGATGCTGGCTGCAGTGTTAGATAGTTTGTGATAATTGTGCTTTAAAGTTTATCAAAGCTTAATGTATTTGGATAACGTATCCTTTTTCTAAATGAATTTACCAGAAAATACCCTACTCTCTGAGCTGCTTGTTGTAATTGTGTTGACAGAGCGCGCCCATGACAACATCATCTGTGCCATGACAACCACCAAAGAATACCTCTTTACCTCGTCATTCTCTCTCATCAAGGTATTGTTCCCCTACAACCTAAATAATAATAAATACTATAATAGTTACCTTTGTGTGTGCCTTTTCTACCTTGATATCTATGTGTTCTTCTGCAACCTCTGTAGCCACTTTGGTGTTTCTTTAGAATCTGTGGGCTGATGGGGTAACCTAATGGTTAAAACGTCTGCTCGTCACACTAAAAACCCAGGTTCGATTCCCCACATGGGTACATTGTGTGAAGCCCATTTCTGGTTTCCCTCGCCATGATGTTGCTAAAAGCAGGGTAAAACCATACTCACTCAATTAGTTCCATCAGCATGTTATGTAGATCAGAAAATGTTCTAGGTTGTACATATTTTGCTTGAAGTTTCTGACTGGTGATATTTTTGTTATCCTGAATAGGTTTGGGAACTGAAGACTCTTGCCTTAAAACAAGTGTTGTCTGGTCTGCATCACTGGGTCAGGGCTCTAGCCTTCAGCTATAAGAAGGTGAGTTTATATGATGGGACTTAGGCTTCATCATGCTTAGAGAACGTCATGTTATTGATGCAGGTGGAACTGTTTGGGCATGGGTAGCATGGTTGTTTAATTTGCTGTGCAGAGTTGCTTCCCTTGGGCAAGTCAGATTCTTAGTAGATTTATGTCATTAGTTCAGCTGACAAGGCAGAACCGACGCCATTGTCACGTCTGCAGACAACAACTTCACTGTTACAGTTTTCATCAACAGAGTAAGAGAGGTGAGGTGAAATTTGATTTAACATTGCATCTGAGGTTTTTCACTTTCACATATTGTGAGCTGCATGCAAATGGTTATGACTGCTTGAACTTGGTCAGATTTCAGCAGGTTTTACGGTGCTAGCCCACTGAAATGAATGCAATACTTAAAACACAGAAGACTCCCAGTGCTGATGATAGACAAAGTAATAGCATAAAGGCAAGTATTTATGGATGTAAGCTTCTTTATTTCACCTGAGGAAGGAGTAAGAATATACCCCGAAACTTCGTGTCCTTCAAAATAAATCAAAGTAGTTGACATCCATAAATTCTCGCCTTTATGTGTATCACTTCTAAATGCCGTTCCAAGACTAAGTTAATAGCAAGTATAGTCTTTTATGTCTTTTGAGAAGACATGGCCAGGGTTGTGAACGACCTTCAGCTTTCCTGGCCTATTCTCTCCACTAGACCGCTGCAGTATAGATAGCATGGTCAGATGGTTTGATGTGAGATGCATTTCAGGACAAGCTTTACAGTGGGTCTCACAATGCCATCAACGTCTGGGACTGCACCGACTCCTTTGCAGCGTTGGGCACCATTGAGCACCAGTTTGGATCAGTCCACTCCCTGGCTGTCACACAGACTTACATCATCGCAGGTAATGCAGGTATGGCGTCTGCATGGCTTGTTTCTGTGTCTCCAGCAGCTAGTACTGTATACTATAGCTCATAACACCTAACTGCTTCACTGGTAATGGGTTACTGGTGAATGAATTCAACTTTATAATGGCACAACTGATTTAGTTGGTAGCAGTTATATTTCATCCAGTCATAATATCAATTTAAATTCCGGAGGAAATGGTGCATGATATTACCTTAGTTGTTTAACTACCTTAGTTGTTAAATGAGAACATCTGTTTTTTAAGTGCATTAATACGTTCAAGATTTTGATAAAAAACAACATAATCACACTGAATATAGGACTTTGTATGCTAGCTAACTAGTACCAGCTTATAGACATATTTAAACAAGCATGGATGTAAGGTTGGAGATCTTGCTGCAAGTGTGAGTCCTTTCAGTGATGGAAAGAATAATCATTTCCTGACTTGATATTCCTACATGTTTTCACAGGAACATACAACCAGAATATTCAGTTATTTGATGCTACCACCCATGAACATGTGACCAACTTGTGTGGCCATATTGGAACTGTGACATCACTAGCTGTGCCGCCATCAGGCCGCTTCCTGTTTTCTGGGTCACATGACAGTAATGTGCAGGTAACTCTCTCTGAGGTCTCAGACAGTGTTTTATCTTCGGATGTGTGTTAGGAAGTGAGGAATTGAAAGAGTGAGTGAGTGAATGAGTGAGTAAGTGAGTTTGGTTTTATGCCATGTTTAACAATATTCCAGCCATATCATGGCGGGAGACGCCAGAAATGTTGAAAGAGAGAGTCTGTGGTGTGGATGAGGGAAAAGCCAGTGGTGGATGTAAATAGTCTGTTGGAGGAGGAATGTGATTGTCATGTGTACAATGTGTTGGGGAGGAATAGGGAGAGAGTCTGTGATTTTCATGGATTGGCTGAATGGAGAAATTTCACAGGAGTTACCCATTCTGTGTTTAATGTGTGATTATTAGACTGTCTGTCTTGGCTGATTATGTATCATTGTTCCCCAGGTAAGTTGATTGTTGTCTTAGCTATTATCCAATGGTTTGGAGGCACATTGATGAACAGCATGAGCATCCATGTCTACAGCAAGGCATGTTTCTACCACCACCCGATGCCGTTAGTTGCCTCTTGCGACAAGCATGGGTTGCTGAAGACCAATTCTAATCCGAATCTTCACGGGTCACTGACCTAAATGTAAACTAAAACATATGTTATACGAATCATGCTATTGTTGCTTCTCACATTTCCAGTTGTGGAGTCTGGAGAAAATGCTGCCGATCCAGACCCTATCCCGCCACCAGGCCAGTGTGAACTCCTTGACGCTGTACGGCAATATCCTGTTGTCTGGGTCAGAAGACCATGAAGTAAAGGTGTTCAGATATTTCCAGCTACAACATGGTCAGTTCTAACTGGGTCAAAAGGTCATGAAATATAGATCTTCAGACACAACATGGACAGTGTCTAACTGGGTCAGAAGATCATGAAATACACAACTACCCCTGCTGGACCACGTCTGCTGCTGGTGACAGAATCACTTCCTGTGACAGTATCCTGATTATCCCCAAGTGTGATAATGTGATAATAACCAGGAGAATCATTCACTCATTGTCATTGGCCAATCACTTATGTACTCATATGTAATGGGGCAAACAATTGTGACATATAACAGGGATGTGTTTCATCAATCCATTTTGTATTTTTTTAACACTATGATAAAATGATTTCGTTGAAATGTGATGATATTCATCCAGGTGTCATTCTAAGTTGAGTCATCGCTGATTCCTGAAGGATAAGAACAGATAAAGGATAAACGAACTGACTGACCAATTTGATCTGAATAATTATTAAAATGAATTACCTTTGAGGAGTTGTTATGAAAGTTACCAGATGTGTTCATGTGAATGACAATTAAACTGTGGATAGTTCAACACTTTATTACCTGAACTTAACAATACTGATATTTCATGTTAGTGCAAATATATGTTGTTTTTAAGTTCCCAGTCAATTGTTTACACTTTCGAACATGGGAAAGTCTTTGACCCGAACATATTTTCTTCAGATAGGAAAATAGAATAGTTCCAACTTATGGTAACAAGTTCTTGTTTGTCACAGTGTTTGACTGTATACTTATATTATATACTTAATCATCCCAGAAGTATTTTTTAAGTGTTGGGTAGAAAAATAGTTCTAAACGTTGCTTGTTATTTTCTTACCCATGCTTCAAGATTTTAGAAGCTTCAGTATTGAACATTGGGCCAGAAAGTGTCCTGATCCAACCAGGGCCCTGATCTTCCAGGTCAATACATATGGTGCTGTGTGTTCTCAAATACATATGAATTAAGTTACATGTTTCAAGCAATAAAAGATTATCTTACCCAAATAAATAAAAGTCCCAAATGTTTTTGATGAACTTTCAGTGTTAATTTTGTTGCCAAATATTTTCTTTATATTGCCCAACATTTGAATTGAGAGCTCCCCTGGCTCTTCTCCAGAATTATCTTTTATCAAATATCTGTCATACTGATGCAGAACATAACTATGAATAAAATTACAAGTAATTTTATTGATAACAGTAAGCATAGATCACACAAACAGATGAAGTATAGGAAAACAAACTAGCATCTTGGTTTATATCTAAGTATTAAGCACATGGAACCTTCAACAGTGAACAGGGCAAGAATACATGTCACAAGGTTTGCGACATCCTAGGAAATAATAGTAGTACAGCTTCACATGACTACTATTATCCGTACGACTATCATGAGCTGCTGTTAAAATATGGGAGTGTGATCAGCTGAGCTCTGACATAGCTTTGTGGAAGAGGACCCAATGTCAAGTGTTGACTTAAGCAAAGATGACCTATTGTTGGAATGACATCAAATAAAGTCATCTGTGACGTCAAGAAGAAAGGATGACATTATCTTCAATTATTTGAGACCATGTTTTCTATGAAGTTATGATGCTTTGGGGCAAACATGAAAACTGCATAACATTTTTTTGGCAAATTAACCAATCTGAATAACAGTATGTTAGCCTTTCTTGCATCAGACTGACATGCCGTGTTATGACTGAAACACTGTTTAAAGTGGTGTTCAGCTGAACTCACTCAGGCATATTTTGTATTCCACATTTAGGCCAGACCAATTTTATTTCTTGTTTTATGGAGTTTTGTCCTCAGAAAACCTAAAGGCAGAAGGGAAAAAAATTATACAAATAAAAATCACCAGTCAAAGTAATATAACTTTTAAATACTAAAAGTGTTTTACTTTTGGCAATTTATGAAGTGTATATGGGGCCAAAAACAATTAAAAAAATTATTTTTTTTGTAAGTTTACATTTTAGGCCAATAAAAAAACATTAGGATTCTATTTTTTGAACAAGGAAAATTAATTTTAATTTTTTTTCTTATTCTTGAAAAAATATGACTGGCGGATCCGTAAAACAAGAAATAAAAATGCAGTTTCATGTCAAGATGATTTTTAAGTGTTATTCTTTATGTTGGTACATTTATTTCTGTGTCGCAGTTGTTATTGTTAATTTTGCATCATGTCATCATGTATACCAGTTTGAACCAGTCTTAACCAGATTGAATTCCTGTGATCTGATCTTATTGTGTACATACGATATATTTGCCCAAAAATGAAAACTTGTATGTATTGTAACAGTTGATTTGAGTGATTCGGAATGATGGATGGATGGAATGATGGATGGATGGATGGTGTTTTGCTCAATAGTTAACCGCCTGCCACTAATGTTCAAGCTTAGAATGTTATCCTAACTGAGAATCAATCGTACAAGATAGCTTTCCGTCCAATCAGTTTTGGCTCTCATTATTATTGCCGTTTGTAATCAATGGTGGAAATAAATCTAACACAAGGAATGGTTAGTAACATGAATTCTGACAGTAAACACTGTCAAATAAACCTTACCCTGTACCTGATGTCAGTCTCTCAGAGAAAGAAAGTTTCACGTACTGACATCCTGATTGTCACATGTAGGTGCTGGAATTTACTTCCAGTATTATTGACTTTTGTGACTTATCCTGCATATTTGTATTATTGTTTGCTTTACACCAGCTTCCTGTATGTTTGCTCTTTTCAAACTTCCAATACTGATCACTTAATGCTGCTGAGTATATGTATTTTTACACTTAAAGAGTATCAAATGACATTCATCTTATTTGTAGCATGCAACCAATACCATCTCCCATGTAGAAACCTGAAGTTACAGATTGCACTTAATTTGTTAATGAAGCTTCATAATTCACTTTTGGTCATGGATCAGTTTGAGGTTGTTAACGATTTGAAACCTGTAAACCTTATGGTGATCTTTCCAGTGAAGTGTTTAGGTTTCCAGTTGATGTTTAAAGCAGGCATGTTGCAAAACTGACTGTAGATGTAATATGTCAGAACGCCAGTGGATGTTGTTCCAAGAAAAGATTTTAATTAATAAATAACCCTAATTCTGATACTTCAAGGACTTACAATAGTCGTAACACTATATTACTTCATGGAACTGTAAACTGAAGAATTACAGTTGGATTAGGGTTGCACTGGATGCTGGCCATTTGATTGCTAATCCCATTGCCACATGTATTCGTCTTTCTTTTTTAAATAGTCACCAATATTGTTGAATCTTTACTGATTTGCTTCATAACATTCCCTTTTGTCACTGTTTGTTTGTTGTTTCATGCGGCACTTAGCTCTATGGCGGCGGTCTGTTATTAATCTGGACCAGACAATCCAGTGATCAACATCATGAGCATTGATCTAAGCAATTTGGATATGATGACATGTGTCAACCAAGTCAGCGAGCCTGACCATGTTTGTCACTTCTTCTGACAAGCATGTCATTGTGTGTGAGTGAGCTATGCTTTGATTTCAGTATGTGTGTGAATGGACTTTGAGGAAAACATTTCTGGTGAATTTTTAAACCCATGTTTGTTCATAGTTTTGGCAGTTGAAGCTGCTGTACATAAATGGGTCAAGATGCTCTAAAAATGAATTGATTGTTGCATATTTGAATAAAAAAATCTTGGATGCCACATTTCTTTCAATTTTACTTTCCCTTTTCCAAATAAATAGGAAATGTACTTGAAAGGCGAATTTGTATGAGTATTCATGAAATCTTGGCGAATTTTGTACATAACTGATGTGGATTGTATGAAAATAGTTGTTACAGTAAACTACTGACTTTTTGGGCTTGAGTTCCATTCCGTATTCGAATATAAGCATCTGTACTAAAAGGCATTGTGTCTTCCGAAAACAGTTGTTGAGTTTACTGAGATCATACCAAAGAAGAACAGGTATGCGACCGAACAAGAAAATCTGTGATCAAACAGCAACTTTTACTTTTAATAATACCTTTAAGTATTTGATGAATACTCATGCAGGAAGCATTTATCTAGATAAAATTCTAGATAAAGATTTACAAACATGACATTTCATTTTAACACAAAGGGCACGTTCACAATTCAGACATTCACAATTTCGCAGATGTTTACAGGTGAGGTAACAATTTCAACAAATACAACGTAAGATGAAATCCATCTGAATTTTTCTGACATCCATTTTATTTACAACAGAAAGGCAATACAAGGATGGTATGGAGTGACAATAAATTAGACAGGACTTATAAATAACAAACAACTACCTGTGTATTTGTGGAAGGACAAGTTTGCATTACAGATCAGTCATGGAAGGCTTCTTAGTCGATATCAGGAAGTGATTCCTGTAATGAACCCTGGGAAACAAGTGCAGAAGGATGGACATCAGTTTTTGAGTATTGGAATCTCCCAAGATGGTTTCTGCACATTGGAATTTAGAGGTCTGACTCCAGAAGGTAGATTTGACCTCATAATTTGTTTCTCACAACAAAATGAATGTAACTTTGAACTTTTTGCTTAGTATAGTCTGAATTATGGCTTTGTAAGTACAAACTCTACATTCCTTATGTCCAATGATCTGGCGAGTAAACCTCATTGAACAGATCTTGAACAGTCTTCTGTAGCATACTCCTTCCCTAAAGAGCACGCTCAGATGAATTAATAATGATCTCAACAGTGAGTGAATGTTCTTGGCCAAAGTTTAAACTGCATCAAATATAATAATGAATGGGCCAAGCTTATCAGTTAATGAATGCAAGAGCAGCGGTCCACACCAAGCGGTTATCACAGGGCCTGACCACCCAATCCACTTTCGTCAACTCTTTCGAGTTTTGAAGCAATTACACCCCTACTGTGGTACTATACAGACAAACTTTATGGATAAACAACTTCTTTATTCGGTAGATGTGATGTTTCGATACGGATTGTTGTATCGTTATGAAGCAAGTATGAATAAAGAAGTTGTTTATCCATAAATTTTGTTTGTATGTTACTCTCCAACTTCTAAACAATGCCACTCAAAGAAGTTACTGTGGTACTATTTCCTGTGAAAAAATCCATAAGATACACAACTTAACATGCACCATCATGACACATTGTTGGTCTTAGTAGACGGTGCTAATAAGGTTTCCTTACAGACTTGTCTAGAACTTGGTCAAGGGTGCTTACTGGAGAAGGATGATTAATATGGTAAATTCGGTAACTGTTTAGCCTTGATTAGGAACTTCCCTAATTACTGGCTTTGATTTTGTTACAATTTTCTAATTCATTAATAGCACATCAGACATTGATATGCTCTTATGTTTTCTCGTACAGAGGACTTGACAGACTTTGGCAAATTCTTAAAGACCATGGATCATGGGATTTGTCAATGCAGTTTTTAGAAACTCAGCTATGACACCAAAAAGTTTATGACGGATAATTTTCAGTTTATACATGTCTGGTGACATTGCAAATGCTAGATATCCTCTAATATACAACCATGGTAATGTCAGTCATGAACACTTCATAGTTTAACATGACTTACAGGACAAATAAAAAGCTACAGTTTATTGGGACTGAATGTTGGCATTTAAGAAAAGTAGATAATATAACAAACTGGTTCAGGGAACCTTGAAGCCATTGCAGTCATTTAAAGTGTAAATCTAACCTACAATGCGTAGCCGGAACACACATGGCATCAACATGAAGCAAAAGCTGCCAACAATTATATACAAGGGAGCATCATGACTGTAGCACCATACTCATCAACTGATATGCATTACAGCTTATTTACATATGCTCGGGCAGTTATAGGCTCTAATACTATAACATGCGATGTACGATAAATATATACATGAGAGTGGAGTTATTTTAGTAAAATGCTTAAATTCTGGTCCATATTTAATGGTCCAACTGTGTGATAACTACAGGATGGGGTAGACGAAACAAATACGGATCATGAAAAATCAGGGATTTGAAAAACATGGTCGTCGGATTCTGGCACAACCAAGGTATGCAACTCTGCATGGCAAATTCCAGCATTGTGGACAAATGAGCTATTCCTTCAGAGATTCTTCTAAATAAATTGTATAACAGGGAAATCTAGCTGGTTTGTGTATCATTTTCATTTATGGTCCCGAACAGCTCCTGTCATTTATCTTTTAAACTACTTGTCTACATGGCTCAGTAGGAATCAGCCATAGATAACATGCAAACAGTGACAGCCAGCTGACAGAGTAACTTAACTTCCGTGGACATGGATTTGAAGGTCTAATGTTAAAATGGAAATTTATAACTAACACTTGTGACCAATACAGGGTTGAAAATATCCATATAACATACAGACAACACAAGGCTGAGCACCAAGTAGCCAAAGACATTCCATCAGTTGTCAGGGGAGTAGTGTCTATACAGACAAGACTCCACACACTGCTCATCAACCTTCACAGAGTAAATCAGTGGTTCGGCTCCTTCTAGCACTAATCACAGTGTGAATTTAAGACTGGACTTCTCGCATTCCATCCATGTTGGGAATGAACTCACTGCTCAGTGTGACAAGTGTCCACTTTTACCACCGGGCCACCAACCCACCACACAAAAAAATACACATACCCGGTAATCCCTGTAGAACAAAAACCCATAGACCTATAAAAAATTTTTTTGAATAAACTGTATTTAATAACAGCTAAAAATTAAATACAAACTTTCTCAGATCTTTTTTGCATATCTGTAGACTGCACTTGTTTTCCAAATCATCAGTAATTGGGAATCTATTTTCATAGTTTTTGAACAAATTCTTTTTACTAAGAATATTGTGCATCAAAATCTTAAAACAACAGTCTATTCTGTAATTCCTAAACCTCATACCATCATAAAGATTATTGTCAAAACTGTATATACATTCTGCCATACATCATGACTGGTAGTTGGATTGACAGCCAGTTACCAACAAGTACTTGACGTACAACAAGTTAACAATCAAGGTGTGTCAATTGTATTGGACTTTGGAATAACCCTAAGGAATAAAACTACCACCATTCAAATTGTATGTTTTAAAATTACATCTGATATACAAAACAAGTTACAATCGGAGATATTACGGACAGTCAAAATAAAAATCCTTTGTGGAAATCAATCCAATAGTTCTAAAACATTCTTAATTCACTGTGCACATAAAAGTACAAGAAACACACGTTAATCAAAATGGCAGCAATTAAAAGAGATTAATGAACTATATCACTTTAACATTTGTGAGCATAAAAGATATCCACAGTCATTTCATGAATCTTGAACTTACAAACCATTTCTTTAAAGAATACAAGCACCATTCAGTGACCATGAGATCTGAGAAGATGACATACATATAAAGTATCTTGTGAATAAGAAAATTTTGAAAAATGTTTCTTCAACCATACTTCCATGTTTGATTAACCAATGATTAATCCACTTAGATATTTGGCTAGAAATTGACTTCTTGTTCACAATTACCTGTAAAACATTAAAATCAATTGTTTTGTTACGATGAGATTCACTGTTAAGTTTATGAAGCCATTAACCCTCCTCCATCTTACTGCCATCAGCTGGTAGTAAACAGTGAAATGTTAGTAGTTTGTTTGTTGTTTAACACCTCACTCAGCAATATTCCAGCTACAGGTCGGCAGTCTGCAAATAATTGTGACTGACTTCAAGGGTATTGATCTGCACTACTGGGAGACCAATTCCAACCTGGACCTTCATGGGTAAGAAATGTTAGTTCCAGGTACCATCTTGTATTCTAGCAGATGGCACAGTATTCCTCACATGACAACTCATTATTTGAGGTTAGCGTCGGTAGCACGACTTGGGGGTCTACTTTGAACTGTGCTCATTCATCATCTGGTTCATTCATCTGAATAACCAAGTGAATTGTCAGATTCTTAATAGAAGTGTCACAAAGAGAAAGCATAATCAAGCAGTTAAATACATGTTGCACTAATTTCCATTTAAAATCTAGACTCCATTTTGCCACAAACAAAAAAACATTATGATTTTGCATATCAGCAATTGTTAATTGTAAAGCTGAGTCACAAAGTGTAACCTTGTCTGTCCAGACCCTGTTATTCCAGAAACCTGTCTTCTTGAGAACTATTGGGAACATACAGTTAGAAAACAAAACATGTGGAGAATTGTTGTACTCAACCTATACACACCAGTTTTTAAACAAAGGAGCCCAGGGTTGTTGAAGTCTTCAATAATTTTTTGAATTTTTTGAAATTGAATGAACCCCTTAATCTACAACTTTTAAAATGAAGGTATGAGAAGGGCCCATTTAGTCTCCTGTACAATTTTGAACCGTTATTACTATGACAAGGAAGTATAATGAAGCTGCAGATTTGTGTTGACAGTACACAAGGCCCTTAAGAATACAGACCATTGAATCAACAAATTTAAAAATCAAGTATTTGTTTAGTGAACATCCTAAAAGTGGGTTGAAATTTACATGGAACAATATAGTAGTTCACAAGTAATGGCCAATCAATGTCATGTTGTGGAGTCTATGTGAATTGAAATTAGCACCTTGTCAATAGCTGTCAGAATAATGAATCTATTTCACTGCTATGTGCGTTTTACAGTGTAGCTGCCATCAATCAGGAGACAAAATAACTGTGTAGCAGTAGCTTGTTAAAGGCACCATGCCCACTAAAATAGACTGCCAACTTTCAATTTAAAATGCTGTCAAGAATGTGAGCAATGGCCACAAATATCTAAATACTAAAAATGATTGTAAAATGAATTCATAATGATTCTTCATTCACTTATAATTATCAACAGATATAACGATTTGTAAGTCGTAAAATTATGATAAGATGACGAACATGCTTATTTCTATAAACTTTGTCAGCAAACCAACTCTTGTTCAGTGGGAAGGTGATCAAGTAAAATTCCCAGCAACAGTTTGATATTTACAATTACTACATCCATTATGTCTATACACGATTCATACAGATGCTGGTCATGGAGACAGGTTGTAGTAAGCTACAGATGCCCAAAACAGATGTAAAATGGACTATTCTTTGAAGCACCAGAAACTAATGCAATAAATACCTTAGCTACATACAATTGATAAAATCTGTACAAGTTTTTCAGAGACACTATATGATAAATGGAGAAACTAAACACTGACTTTCCACAATCAACCTTAATGTCAGGATGTACTACAGGATCGACCATAATGTCATAAAAGAGAATTCCTATGTACAAGTTTGTGCATAATGTGGCAGTTTTCTATTAACAACTGCAAAACCATTCTAAACACTTGTTTAACGCCAAGACCAAATCTCACTGTAGGGCCACTATAGACCAGCGAACAAGACTGCCCAGTGAAATGAAGATTGCATGGATTCTTGAGCCCAACAGATGCTAGCTTCCTAAAACCTTGTGTTTTTCACATTTACTTGATTTGGATATTTCAATGTTAGCAATGGAACACAATCATGTTCCATGTAACATGTGTTACATATGGGATTACACTTTCTGTGTAACATACAGAGTCTTGTACCTTATTTTTACGTTGAGTCCTAGCTGGGATTCAAACCCTCATTCACAGGGTCCAGGGCCCCGTTCCTCAAAGCGATCGTTGCGCTACGACTGTCGTAAGTCTATGTTAAAGTATGGGAGTTACGATCATCTTGGAGCTACGATCGCTTTGTGGAACGGGGCCCAGCACCTAAAGCCAGCAATGGTTCTTGCCTTTGTGTGTAGATGCCATAGTGCCCATCCACAAAAGAATGTATATACATTCATGATAGCATAGTTATAAAAACAAATTGCATTTGGAACTCCATGATAACATTTGTTTTTGATATAGGAATCAGACATGCTTGTCTTATCAGAATGTTCATTGACCTACTATGCAGGTATCATCAGATCTTCACGTACGGAGGTATTGGGGTAAAAGATCTGAGACTACAATGAGTCTACAGTACAAACAGGATGTGTTCATCACTTCCACTCGCCTCAAAAACATTGTGCTATATGTCATGTAATTTCAGTTTCCTAGTTTCACAGATAAACAATTGAAACAATTATAATGAAATGTACAAATTTATCAACACCTTTCTCCCCAAAAATGCAAACTAAATGTTTACGACTGTCTAAGATATGTTTAGTTCTTGATGAGGCAGATTATGAGCAAATAGCATGGTGATGAACCCATGTGATTCTGGTATGCTGAAAATCTTGTCATAATCAGGTCAGTATTCCACAAAGCAATTGCAGCACTAATACAATGTACATAACTGTTATACTTTAACACAGACTTAATACAGTCCTAGTCCTAGGATTTGTTTGTGGAATTGGTTCCAGATCTTTGCTCAAATGAGGCTGGTGAAAGTACACAACACCTTGGACTCAGAACCAGTGCTGTTATGTGTTTGTTTATGTGAAAGGAAATTTCAACATATGAACGAATGATGTTGTTTCAGTGAAGCACTCAAACAAGAAAAGAAACTAGAAGTTATTTCATGTATGTGTGCATGAAGACATTGTATGGAGACATTCACTTATGACATATAGGTCACATAACAATTTATACCACCCAACCAATGGGTGAAGGTGTATGAAGACCTCTAGTATAGACCGCCAACAGTCACAGTACTAAATTGCTTTGTGGAAAAGGAGCTGAGGCATCAACACGGGTGGTCTTCCTTGTGGTCAACTGACCAACAACTAGCCACACACGTAGTGACCACCAGTTACAGTCATCTTGTGTGATCTGCATGCTCTGTGGTGGTGGTGTCTGGTCCTGTACATAGAGCTCAGGTCACAAATCAGTGTAAGTTAAGCAACGTTGGTCATGGAGAGTCCTTGGATGGGTGACTGTGTTTGGCAGCTTGACTACTGAGAGTTTCTAGGACTTCATTCCTGCCCCACAACGAAGCACATGTGATACATGTGGTCTCACCTTAGGCAAGTGAGTTTGTTCAAAATTGCATCTGTTCACCCAGCAGAAAATGGTGGGATAAGTCTGCTGTTCCGAACAGGCAGCTTGGGTTATCAGGGGTAATAATGTGTTAGCGCTTTGAGCATGCACAAGCGTGTGGAAACAGGTGCTGTACAAATGGCCATTATTATTATTATTATCTGTGACAAGAGTTCATGGTAAACAACCCAGCTGTGAAATAAATGGATGCAACATACATCTCAAGATGACTGATCATTTGAGACTTGAACACGAGCATCTTCATTCCCACTCTGACATCTACTCCAGTACTAAACAGTTTTTGTTTTACTCATCAAAATAGGTATAACAACGTGGATATGAAACAAGTCTATTAGAATCACTCTTCATCTTCAGCTGTTTGATGCATCATGCATGTCAAATTTATGTGAGATTTCATTGAAAATATGTGAGTGAGTTTGGTTTTACACCGCTTTTAACAATATTCCAGCAATATCACAGCAGGGGCACATTGTGCCCATGTGGGGAATTGACTGACTGAGTTTAGTTTTACGCTGCTTTAAGCAATTTTCCAGCAATATCACGGCGGGGGACACCAGAAATGGGCTTAACACATTGTGCCCATGTGGGGAATCGAACCCGGGCCTTCGGCGTGACGAGCCAACGCTTTAACCACTAGGCTACCCCACCGCCCTGTGGGGAATTGAACCTGGATCTTCTGCGTGACAAGCGAACACTTTAACCACTCGGCTACCCCACTGGCCTCAAGGAGAATAAAAATTTATCAGAAGATCAGATTTTGTCTGGTTCTTCACTAAGATCAACAAGGATATCACCATACCAAATGCTCTGACATTTAAGTTCATGGAAGAAAAGTGTTGTGTGATAACAGTAGACATCATGCCATGCTGTCACCCCCTAACTATTACTGAGATTACCGGGGGTCACAGTTAGAAAGTCCAGCCATATCCCTGAGGAGTATTGCTTCTATAAATGGTCATTTGGCTGCCCCGAGGGGTCAGTGTGAAGAGCTACAACATGTCCTGTGTGTTGCCTGAGTATGGTGAGATAGTGAGAGGAGAACGTTCCTCATATCACTGAGGTCTCCATAGTGAGGCAGTGAATTAGTGAGGGACATAGAGGAGAATGTTCTTCTCATCACTGAGATCTCCATAGTGTGTTGAGAGTCCAATGGAGGCCACAAGTTAGTGAGGGAGTTACAGGAGGAAGTTCTTCTCATCGCTGAGGTATGTCTCGATAGCACGGTGACATTCAACTGTACTCCATCTCTCCAACAGTAAGTTACACTCTGTCTCATTGGTCAGTTCCAGCTTGGTACGGTGGTGACTGCGAATCAGGAGTTTCGTTGCTTCCATTGCCTGAAAAACACAAAATAGACCATGTATACATTCACATATTTGTGCCAATAACCTGATCTTGGCCCCCTGAATACTATGAGTGTTCACATAATTCTTACATCAACAATCTACCTTGAACAAGCCGGAATAAACCTATATATATTGTGTATTACATGATGAAGATCAGCTGGTTTAGCACTATGGGAAGAAACAAATGAATGCTTTATTTATGTATGCTGCTCATTTCACAACAGTGGACATGAGAAAGGAGCCTGTGTTGTACATTAATAAGTGAGTGAGTGAGTTTAGTTTTGCCACTTTTAGCAATATTCCAACAATATCACAGCATGGGCACAAGAAATGGGCTTCACACATTGTACCCATGTGGGGATTCGAACCTGGTCCTTAGGTGTAACGAGCCAACGCTTTAACCACTAGGCTACCCCACCGCCCCTGTACACTAATGATGGACTCACCTTGGCGGAGTACATGGACATGTGTTGCACCCGAGGTATGACCTCCTGCATGACACTGGTCGGCCAGAACACCTGTGACACCAGACCTAGCTGGTACGCCTCCATTGCAGTGATCTTCCGGCCAGCAAACAGCAACTCGTTACTCTGGATGGACAAGAGAGCTTTAGTCACCCAGGCAACAACGTAATGACATGCAATGTTTGAAATTAAAGAATCGTGGACACCTGGTGATTTTCCTTTCTGTTACACAACATGAAACTCAAGGACAAGGGACACCGTCATGACAATACATGCTGTCAAAACAGTTGAAATAAAGCTAGAGTAACCAGCCCTTCTGTATTGAAAAGTTTGAACACAATATCAATATGGATCATCGTAGAAAAATAAGATACAGAAACATTTTGCCTTACAGAAAATGTGGAGAAATGTTTTACACAGAATATGAATACCAGCACTGGACATTGAGGTGGGGGTCAAGTGGATCTTCTAAAATATATTGAATCTGGGGACCACGAAATCTGTAACTTTTAGCATCAGGGCAATGACAAAGATCACTGACTTTCATCCTTAATTTCGAAAATATTATTTCAATATGTTATCAACCATAAGTCAGTGAGTAAGTTGGGGTTATTGTTATGTTGAACATTATCCAGCATATGAGCTTCATCTCTGAGTGTCAGTTGGTGGAAAGCCTGAAGAGATGCAAGTCAAACAAGAGATCACAGTCATGATCACACCACACAAATAGATGATCCTGACATGACTCACGGCATCAAATCTGAGCTTGAGCCCCACTACCAACTACAGCTATACCAAATGTCATAAAACTTTGCAAGAGGATGGTGGTGTAATGGCCACAAGTAGTTTCAGATTTTCACATGGTTGAAGAAGAAAGGTCAAATTGAAATCAAGATTTAAAATGTTACAAAAAATGGAAGAAGATGACCCACACCACTAAATACACTTATGCCAGATGCCATTACTTTTTTTAACAAGAATGTTGCAGTAATGGTAATACAGCAACAGGCTTCTGGCCAACTCAGTTAACTGGAAGCCTCAGAACCCTTCTGAACCAGCTCTGCTGCCACCTACCACAGCAAGTCCAACAGCAAGAGGTAGTGTGAATGATATGCATCCCTCCGGTGTCTGAGACAGTTGGGAGTATGGGAGGTAGAAGAGTGCCTTGTCACTAGCATAGATTACATCACAGAGAGGTAGGATGGCCATGCCCAGGCCTATAGCTGGACCAGGAACAGCGGCCACGATCGGCTTTGGGAACGTGATGAATGTCTTGATCAGATCCCTAGGAAACAAAAAGAAAAACTAAACCGACAGCAAATATACATCAATGGCATGAAGCAATGTGGCTGTCAAGAGGGTGGACTCCCAAATATTGTTGTGTCAACTAGCAAGTTATGTAACATGCTGTAGCTGAAACTGAAGGAACTGAAGGACACAGTGAGTGAGTGAATTAACATTAAGTTTTAGCTTATGTATCAGATTCTCAAATGGACACTAGTGGTCGAATAAAAATGGCTTTCTGTTATAAAACAATCTATTCATAAATAAATTTAAAACATCGAAGGAAAATATCACTGATAAAGGACTAATAACTATTTGCAGGAACACAAAATACAAATGATAAGCAAAATGTATTGATGAGATTATAACTAAGACATGGAACTTCCTAGTATTCTCTCATCAGAACCACCAACAGGGGTCATATCGTTTCACATAAACAATAATCAATTCTAGGGGAAGAAACACATGGTCATATCAATCAGGTAGAAACCAACAAATGACAATAACCACAAACACTGGCTTTAGTTTTTATCTTACTTTCACCTCCTGCTCATCTAAAAATAGGAAGATAAACTGTTCTTGAAGACACCTACCTGACAGCATCCACCATCTGTCTAGCTGCTATTCTCCGGTCCCCGGTCGTTAGGAAGTTTAGATCAATACCAGAACAGAAGACGTTGCCGATGCTGCTCAGCATCACCAGGTTGCTGTCATCGTATTTGGCGGAGTTGAGGGCAGACACGATCTCATGAACCACCTGAAGGTAACAACGGTGGTTAGATGTATAGAGAGCAGCAGGTACTGGTCATGGAACATCCAGATGCTCAGTGAGTTGACGCTGCTGCAGTAGCAATATTCCACCTAGATCATGACAGGCCGTAAATATCATACTCCTGTCAGAGCCTGACAAACAACATAACGATAAGCGATTCATGAAATCAGGCTACAGTGACACAATTATCCCGGTTACACATGAACCACCTGAGAATCATTGAAGTCATCAGCTGGCATTTACAACAAGAATGGTTTGTCTTCATGCTGCAATATATCAAACATATGATGGCTATGAAATTATGGCTACCCAGTCTGACCACCAAATCAGTTGAGTCTCTGACCACACAAATCAGTCTGAGGGCCAACCAATTCTGACCACCAAATAAAGGTCAAGGGGACCAATTCTGACCACCAAGTCAAATGAGGGTCGAGGGGGCCAATTCTGACAAATCAGTTGAGTTGCCAAACCACCAAATCAGTTGAGTTGCAAGGTCGAGGGGTCTGACCACCAAATCAGTTGAGTTGCAAAGGGGCCAATTCTGACCACCAAATTCAAGGTCGAGGGGCCAATTCTGACCACCCACTCAAGGTCGAGGGGCCAATTCTGACCACCAAATCAGTTGAGTCTCAAGGCCAAGGGGCCAATTCTGACCACCAAATCAGTTGAGTCTCAAGGCCAAGGGGACCAATTCTGACCCACTAAATCAGTTGAGTCCCAAGGTCAAGGGGGCCAATGTTCACTGTACTTAATTCTTGACAAGAAAATGAAGGCCCTGTTAATACAGTGCTTTTCAGACAAGACAGATCTGTACACTAAACTATTGCGTTACTTCACAGGACCCTCGTATTCCATAACTGGACCCTTTCAATTAATTATTACGGTACCATGGATCCCTAGTTTTGTAGGTCAAGGTCAAACTCTGATATGTCAATGTTTCAGTATTGACAAAATTGGCCCACAAGGTGTAATGACATTATTAAAATCTATTCACATAATGGTGTCATGTGGGTGACATACCTGTGGATCAATGGCGTTCTTAAGAGCCGTGTGAGTATTCAGCCAGATCTGTGTGTAGCCATCACACTTCTTCACCACGATCTGCTTGTAGCGGAAGGCGTACTCTGTGGTGCGGACACTGATACGCCGCTCCACCTTCTCCTCGGGGTCGTTCTCCACCACCTTCTTGTTCTTCTTGGGATGCATCTGCATCGGGAGATTGGCCAGCAGCGCCTTGTATGAGATGGAGGATGGGCTGACTGGCATCATACTCTGTGACAGCGGGAACGACGGGATGTCTCCATAGTACTTGTCCAACAGGAGGGACGAGCCGGGCATGGGTGTCCTGGCAGGGGCTGTGATGGGCTTGACTGATGAGAAGTAAGGCAACGCTGGATCTAGAATTTGTAGTGAGCATGGTTAGTGCCTGTAGAAAATGTACAATTTGTTATTTTTGTGTAACTAGTTACTAGTTAGCATGGTGAGCTATATACTTCACAACTCAGCATTAGCATGCCATGCTTTTTAGAAAGTGGTCATATGCAGCAAATGTTATATTCATTGAGAAAGTGTAATCCAAAACATAACATGAGCATGTTGAGAATTAGAATTTGTAGAGCATGGTGAGCTATATACTTCACAACTCAGCATTAGCATGCCATGCTTTTTAGAAAGTGGTCATATGCAGCAAATGTTATATTCATTGAGAAAGTGTAATCCAAAACATAACATGAGCATGTTGACGAGCATGTTGACAATTAGAATTTTGTTAATATTCGTTATAACTACTAAACTAGTAAAGCCAACTTAGTCAGCATTTTCAGTGTTTGAATTTAACCATGATGAAGGTGAAGGAGTCCTTGCCACAGCTCATCCTAAACCCCAAGCTAACTGTAATGTTTACCATGTAGAAGGTCTACATATTCAAAGGTCTAGGACCTTCTTGATTTGGAACACTGATGACCCTCACTAAACTTGGCATTTGAGCATGAAGACAGTGAGACACAACTCTGGTCAGCGTTTTCTTAAAATAAACCCATTAAGAACAGGTATGGCTACAATTCTCCCAAAGCTCAGATCTTCATAAGAGTGAGTGAGTTTAGTTTTACGCCGCACTAAGCAATATTCCAGCTATATGGAGGCAGTCTGTAAATAATCAAGTCTGGACCAGACAATCCAGTGATCAACAGCATGAGCATTGATCTGCACAATTGGGATACGATGACATGTGTCAACCAAGCCAGCGAGCCTGACCACCCGATCCCGCATGGGTTACTGTAAAAGTTCATTCTAACCCGGACCTTCACGGGTATCTTCATAAGAACACAAATTTATACTATGTATACCTTGGTTACACAGTGACTAGGAAATTTTTGGTGGGGGGGTAAATGGCCCCAAGTTTACAAAATATACAGTAAACTATGGTTATTATGAACTTTAAGCGAGCTCTAATTTTAGTTCGCCATAACCATAGTTTGTTATAAGCATTTTGACTAAATGTACCTCAAGTGGCCAGGACTGCCAAACATCTGGTATGTTATATCCATCAGGTCTTTATAAGTATGTTTGTTTTAAAAATAGCAAACTGAACAAGACATCGTTATTTCCAAAGGGCCATAAAATCAACATTTTCAACATAACGTAACTCAAATGAAATTAAAATCCGAATTTTGAACTTAAAACAATGACCTCAAAGATATATTTAACAACCTGAAATCAAATTTTATGTAAATGGAAAGTTTTAGGAGGAACTGAAAAATCAAAACAATTTTGTTTGGAAAAGTACTGTTGTGTTACTGCAGATGGTGGCAAATCAGTGACCCGATGCAGGTCATGGGGGTAGTGATGAAGAGATTCAACTGCGATGTTAGTTGATGCATACTTGATGAAGCAAGCAGGAAAACTATTACACATGGATGACACTTACTGGATTTGTTTGAGTGCCATTAGGAATTCCCTAATCACTGGTTACAAATTAAGTCAAAACAAAAACATTCATGCAAGGTTTCAACTTACCTGAAGGATTCAAAGACCCTTTCTTTTTCTTCACCGAGTCTATCAATGCCAGTCGCCGCTTCACTGTTTTACCATCAGAATCTTGTTCCCACTTTGATTTTATCTTCTCCACAATTTTCCTGTCGACATGCTTGTCCTTATCCTTAGGTTTATTATTTCCCAATGTGGATGCCACCTCGCCCTTCACACATGGCAAGTCCGTAACCACATCATTCAGTGAATAAAGAATATCTTCATCACTGTCAGAGTCCGAGAGAATTTCCACCTCTGATTCAAGTTTTCTCTTCACCCCTTTCTGGACTAGAACATCTGATATATTATTGCTTCCACTATACTTGCTCTTCGGGGGTAGACTTGTTTTGCTCTTTCCTATATTAAGCTTCTTGACATTACATGTGCTTGAAAGTTTTATAGATTTAGTATTACAAGTTCCTTCCAATGTCACCTTCTTAACTTTGTCCTTGGAGTTAGATTTCTTCTGTATAGATTTATCCTGACTGACTGTCTTTTTCGGCTTTTCTGATTTATCTTTGACAGATTTCTTCAGCTGTGCAGTTTTAGCCTTTTTGCCAGAGTTTGACTTGGACGAAGCCTTCTTCGCTATTACAACTTTAAGCTTCTTAACTTTCTTCCCATCAGAGGCACATTTAGTTAATGACTTCTTCCCCGATATATTACCCTTTATGCTTTCTCTGTCCAATTTTTTCACCTTCACAGTCGTCCCTGACTTGTTTTTCAACTGTTTACTTTTCTTTACCAGTCCTTGCGCAATTTTTCTTGTTTTCTCCTTCACTTTCTTCTGTGATTCCTTCTTCCGGTTGTTCTCCTCGAACTGTTTCAGGAGCTGTTTACATGAGCCTAGATTTTCCAGGGGCTCCCAGGTGTCAAACTCCGGACTTGGGAAGCCCTTCCACTTGATTCGGTACTCCCCCACTCCATTTATCTGCCTCATGCAGAGGATCCTTTCCACCTTACAAAAGATATACAAATATGATAACTTCATGCAGTGTTCATCATGTTCATACTAAGGGTTGTGTTGTACTGAGCGAGTGAGGCAAGTGAGCCAATGAGCCAGTGAGTGAGTGAGGGAATAGTTTTACACTGCAATCCAGCTATATGGCGCGGGCTAAATAATCGAGGCTGGAAGAGACAATCCAGCGATCAACAGCATGAGCATTGACATGATACTGGGATACGATGACATGTGTCAACCAAGTCAGTGAGCCTGACCACCCAATCCCGTTAGTCGCCTCTTACGACAAGCATGGGTTACTGAAGATCAATTCTAACCCGGATCTACGCAGGTCGAGTGAGTGAGTGAGTAAAGCCTGAAGGGATGCAGGTTTTATTCTCTTATCATTTTGGGTCAGAGTGAAACCCACAAGGATAGGTATGGTGCATAACCAGAATCAACAATATATTACCGACAACAACAAAAAGAGGGTGACAGTACCATGACTCAAACCTCTTGGAATAATGTAATATATGTCACATCTGGGATTACAATAATTGAAACTTTTAACTATAAATTGTATATCTACAATACTTATCTTATTCTTTATACTTATCTTTTTTTCTCTACACACCAGTAGATAAATATCCACAGCTACAGATAACTTTTGGGTCATTGAGTTATGTACTCGCTTGTGTTCATCTCAATTGGGTATCCTAATTTTCCTTTGAGTAACCAAATAAATTGTACTCAACTCACTCAAACTCAATTGGGTATTTTGCCATTTTCCATTAATTGTAAAAATATAATAAAGGTTAAATGTTTGTTTACGTGTTTGTTATTTGTTTTTGATCTGTAATATGAGAAACAGTAAGAAAGACTGCAAGTTGCCAAGTTCATGTACGGATATAGAATCTCCGAATAAACCTCAGTTATTTGATCTGTCCTTGGTAATCTATATCACATTTTTGTGTGTAGGCATGTAAGACCAAATTTATTTGAGTATTTACAAAAGTTCAAGCGTACTTGTACGCAACAGACTTAATAGGAATTGAGTTTTCACATAAATATTTGTATAATTTACGCAGATAAATACCTTATCTGTACCTCTGAATATCTGTCTACCACAATGTTATAAATTATATCAGATATTATTGTATAAAGGTGCATGGTCACATATTGACTTTTTAGCAGTCTTTATATATGTAAGTATAGTCTGTCATATGTAAAGCATGGCTCGACTTAGTGCTTTGTTACCTGCACAGGTGCAACACAATATTACAAAGTGCAACCTAGTTATTAGTTAAACTTGCACCAGGTGCAAGTCAATTTTTGAGTGGGTAAACTTCTGAATAACACATCTAAATAATTCAATAGAATATTTATTCATTACATATTGCAATAAAAGCAGTGCAACTGGAATTTGGCTGGTGCAACTAGGTTTTTATCTTACGTTGCACCTTGTGCAAGTAGGTTAACATCTCTTAAATCGAGCCCTGTAAAGGCAATAACATATAAATAGATGCAGGAAGACATATCTGCATGTTTGTGTCACCATAATTGTCTTAGATTTCAGGGAAAGAAACCTTTCAATTTTTCTCACTAGATCACAGGACCAGTGAGTGGACAATAATTAGTGGTCCTGTCTGTACTTCAATGGTCCAAAACAACATTCGAAGATTTATTTCAGTGTAAGCTAGGGCTGCAAAGATTCAACCAGACCCTGATTTGATTTGATTTTCGATATCGGATTTGATCATTTTGGATACAATTCTTCAAACAAGTAAAAACATCAGATTTCATTTAACTCTCCATCATCAACTTGGCGATGTCTACTAACAACAATTCTCCTTGGATAATTTGCCCGGCGTCAACCAATCATGTTTTGCCTTATTTCAGCGCTCGAAACTGCTCGAGTTGGGGTCAAAATTACATTCTGGCTGTGTGGAAATAATTTATATAGGTATTCAAATATTGAAATAGTGATAATGGTTTTCGAACATCGGAAGTAAGGTGTCAGATTTGATTTTCAATGTATCGAACCGAATCGTTGCAGCCCTAATATAAGCCCACGATGATGCCACCTACTAAATGATTGTCTATCAACATGCGACCTCACCTGTGTTTTCATGTTACGTGTTACAGTTATGATGTGAAGCAAAGTCAAAATGATCTACAGGTCCGAGGTCTAAATGGCTTTGTGCATTCACAGGTCTAAGGGCAGTTTACTGGACATTTATCATGGTTGTTGGGAAGTTGCAACATTCTCATGATGATGACATTGGTATAGAATATTACTAGGAGTCCAATATGGCACAACAGAGTGTACATGCTATAGGGATGGTCTTGATGCATAAATAGATTACATAGCTTATACTACTGACAGTAATATTTGTCAAAGATGCAATGATGATGAAGATGGAGTAACTGTAATTAAAGATAATTATTTAGATGTCAAGTATGTATATTGATATACAGTACACCTGGGCAGGGGTTCAATTTTTTGTTGAAAAACCACTTGCCACAGGGCAAGTGACTTTAAGAAAGTAACTTGTCCTAGCTAATTTTCCACTTGCCCTGATTTTTATGACATAATCATGATGATGTAATTATGAAAGAATAAATCAACATGGTATTTGATGTTAATGTTCACTGGACTATTTATCGAGAAGTGATAAATGGCAAAGATGGATAACTCTACTTAATTAACATTAACGGACAAGTAAGATACCATTATATGATTGCCCGAAATGAAAACTGACTTGTCCCGGGCATCGGGCGATGGGATTTTTTAACCCCTGTTGGGGCAAAATATGGATCTGAACAGCAAATTATGTAGCAATTAACATGATTTATGCAGAGATGCCAACCCAAAATTGATGCAATAAGGAATCTGAGCTCCCTAAGATAGAAAATATTAGGAATTTTCCCAACAAATAAGGGATCCTATAAATTGTTGCACTCAAGGAACAAAACTTTTCAATGCCATTACACATAGAGACCCTTATACAACTGAAACTGGCTTGCAGTACTCAGCAGCACTGTTTGTGAATGTTAAGTGAATAAAATGAACAGTGTGTGGAATTTATCAGAAAGCCTACTCAACTTCCTGGTTTACTTTCTTGTGTAAACAATTTGAGAACTTCTGTAAATATAGTGTTATCTTTATTTAATTATCATTATTTATAGTCAAAGATGATCCTAGCCCTCCAGTAAGTATGACTATCTATATCTTTGTTATATTTTGAAAAAAATCGGAATGAATTTGACTTTGTCACAATTGACATGCATTTTTCGGAATGATTCCGATACATTCAGGAGGGTTTGAATCTGTTTATAACCTTACCCAAGTAACCATAACAAAAATTTCAAATGAATAATTAAGTCTGTGCCTTACCAGCTTACCTTCATGTGAGTTCCAGTTTTATTATGCTTTATAATCATGATAATCACATCTGCATATAGCCTCTAATGAAGTTTAACTCTGTCCATAAACAACACGCAATGTTTCAAAATAAAGAATTTTTCAAAAAGGTCCACTTTATCGTGTTTATTCAAATCCCTGTAGTCCATCACATACCATCCATACAGGATGTAGAGAATATGTGTACTATTTATTATTTGTAAACTGATCTTGTGGATGTGCTTAGTTATATTCAGTTGTTAAGTTCCGCCAGATCAACAGCATGGTAACAGAATGACATTCCGTGTATGAAGTCCCACGAAATAAACTTGTATATCAACAATGTTATGTTCAGCAAACAATTTTATCTTATCTCACACAAAAATGTCGTTTCTGATTTGTTGAGCCACTTGATGAAACTGACTTACATTTTAAGTTACAAGCTTACAAGCGTGTAACATTTTCCCTGTTACCCGCTGGAAATGCCAAACTGTGGGAAATCGTTTGGTACTTCGTGTTAATAGTGCTATTGCCCAACTCAGGTACTACCTATTATGATACATTACCCGTGCTTCAAACTGTTCAAAATTAACATAGATAAATATGTTGTTCTCTGGTCCCTTCGAACTCAGAAACATAAACAAACATCGAGGGTACATCAACCCATGTCCCCCTCATGACCAGTGAACAACTTATAATGTACCATAGAACATCAGCTGAACAAGTATAGAGAATTGTGTTCCTAACAACAGGAAATGGGAGAAACACATTGAAACCCTTCTCACACATATTGTCAGTGTAGTTTTATCAGTACAACAGTTGATCATGCATGGAGACAAATTCTTGTTGACAGCTGACAGCATGCTAGGAATGTTTCTTTGTTAAAGAAAGATACCTTGTACAGGGTAATGTAGTGACTGCCATACTTAGCATTGTTTAGAGATTTGTTTACCTGTATCAAACTGAACGCAACAAAAGCGATGTAAACATTTAGGAATCTGACCCTGAACAGTCAGCATGGTTTAGGCCACATCAGTTTAATTTGTTGCTTTAAAGACAACCTTACCTGCCACACACGTCTTCACCATTTTCAACCTGTTATTTTATAAATATTTGGAAATTCAAGTATGCTGCACAAATCTCCAACTTAAGCATTTTCCCCCAAGCTATTATTTAGTACACTTTCTGAAGGTTTGATAAGTGATAAGATTAGCTTGTACTAGTCAATATACTAAGATGAAAATACAAGTTTGAGGTAGTAGACTCCAAAAAAACAAACTGTACAGCAAACTTCGACTATATTAAGACAAATATACACTACAAACATAAAACATCAATTCTAGACCATGGAAGATCAATTTTAAAAACAAAAAGATAGATGTTAGATGTGCAGAATCAAGCAAATATTACAAATTTTCTTAACGTGCACTTATTTTGGTGAAATAATAACTCAAGTGGTGAAAGGGAAAAGTGTCTTCTTATTTAATTTTAAAGATTAATCATTGCAACAGGAAAGAATAAAATTAAAACTTGGAAAGAAACGTGTCGAGCAGAATAAAATGCATCTTGTCATTCAGGAAATCGCTCAGTTGCTGTAATATATTGAATAATCATG